AGCCTAAGCTCAGCCACAGAGATTAATACTGTCAGTGGCTTTCAACTCACTGTCAGGACGACAAGAAGGGAGTAACCATAGCAACACAAAAATCAACAGGTAAAAAACCTCTTCTAAAGTTGACAGGAAAAGTTTAGTTTTAATAAAACCTATTTTCAATTCCTGTCTCTAAACCTTTGAATTCAAATAGTTCAATCACTTGGAGGTAATAAAATTAAAATTTTGGTAGTTTTGACAACACAAATGGCCTTCTAGTTTTGAGTTCCAGAACTGTGAGGAAATACTGTTAACCTGTCAATTTTACTACTTCTGCAAAGAGCCATTTGAACAAATGTCATTACGTTATTTTTGACTGAAAGGATTTTTCTCTGTATTTGTTCTGCTATCAGTTTAAAAACAGCCTTGAACAGCGCTTGACATTTTAAGATACTTATTGTATGTGTGACAAAAACATAGGGTTATACAATAACAGCAAAGATAGAGAAGCAACATAAGTGTCCAGCAATGGATGACTAGATGAATATATGCCACATACACAAAATGGAATACTATTCAGCCATAAAAAAGAATAAAATCATGTCTTCTGCAGCAACATGGATGGAACTGGAGGTCATTATGTTAAGTGAAACCACTCAAATATAAAATTGTGTGTGTCCTCGCTTATAAGTGGGATCTAAATAATGTATACACATGGACATAGAGTGTGGAATAATAGACACTGGAGACTCAGGCGGGAGGGTGGTAAGGGATGGGAAATTACTTAATGGGCTCAGTGTGCACTATTTGGGTGATGGTTCCACTAAAAGCCCAGACTTTACCACTATGCAGTATATCCATGTATCAAAACTGCATTTGTACCCCTTGCATTTATACCAAAAAAAGGAAAAGAAAAGAGAAAACGTAAGGTGTTCAGGAGTTCTCTTGACATGAATGGAACTTAGTGAAAATAATAAAGGATCTGGAGAGTAATTCCTAGAGTAAGTTTCTGAGACAGCTCTCGCAGCCACCTCGGTAGCCTCCGCCCCAGTACATAATGGAGGTTCCGCAGCCCTTATGTCACTAAGTGCCCCAGAGGCATCATTAAGTTCTGACAGTTATTCTTGCTCAAGGAGCTCACACACCTCATCTTAGAACCAGCACATCCCAAATGCCAGCATTGTTTTGCATAAGTTGATAGAGGAATATTCAGTTGGGTAAGGGGAAATGTGGTACTAGTCCAGCTCTTCAACTAACCAGTTGAGGGCCCTGGACAAGTTATTATTCAGCTCTATGGCTATGGGCTGGAAGAGTTTCTCAGATTCTTCCCTGAGAAGAGACAGTTAAGAGTTAAAGGGAAACGGGAGATGACTTGTATTTGACACCCATTTTGGGCCATTCCCAATACTAGGGTTTAAAAATATTTTTTGGCAAGGAACTGGCAAGATAGATGGAGAGAAATGTCAAGTACATATGTGTTGACATATGAGGACACATTCATAAGCAGGCCTAGCTAAGGGACAGACCCTGGGTTCAACCCTAGATATTTTTGATGCCACATGAGGTTGTCTCTGTTTCTCAGACACCACTTCACCACTCTTATGAACTGGCTTTTGCCTGCTATGTATAGAGGTTGATCCCCAAGTGCTAGTTATGTGCACTAAAGTCTTCTATTTTCTAAGCATAGAAGAGTAGGTCCCTTGGAAAGTCCCTCTATAACCTTCCTTTTATTTAGCCAACCACTGTTAACAGTATTTTCATACCAAATATATACTGTTTTGCCATCTGCTGTTATCACCTAATATTCTATCACTGACATCTACTTATGTTAATAAATATTTTAATCTTTATAAAGATTGAATTATATTACACTATATTATATTAAATCCCTTACTATGAATATTTTAGTCCTTCCAATTTTGTTCTCCTTTAATAATCAGAAAGAGAAATACATCTATGGAAAAATATAAGGGTATTAAAATAATTTTTTTAGGAAACCATAATATGTTAAAAAACAAATAAAGAGCATCAACTTAATCTTCGTGTTTTCCTTAAATCTTTGCTTAGAATCAAAGTTGCCTTGCAATCTAGGAGCGTCCTTTAATTAACCAGCGTTACATTATGCATTTGAACTGAAATGTGTATCTGTGGGCCTTGGGGCCAGGAATTCTTGGTAGCATCCCTCAATTCCACTTTAAAAACGCAGTCATGCTATTTATATAAAGGAAGAAAAGTCAACAGCTACGTGAACAAGTTCTGTTTGAACATGAAACATACACAGAAAAACAAATCTAGTTTTGCGGTTAGTTGAAAATTCACAGCTGGTATAGGCTTTTCTTTCCATTTTAATTAACGTGTTTCCCCCTCCCATGCAACAAGAAAATGCTCTTTTAGTGCTGATTGAAAGACCAAAGTCAGAGCAAAAGCTGTTTGAAAATTCTGAGGCTTAAGTAAAGCTGCTTTAAAAGCTGCTGTGTGTACCAAGCAACTTGGACATTTCCTAATAGGATTTTGTAGAGTTCCAGTAACTCTTTCTCCCCATCACTTCTTTACTCTCTTACTTTGGTGAAAACTAAAGTCAAGTAATGCAAAGATCATCCAAGTAGCCAGAAAAGCAAAAACTACACATACATTTTAAAATTATATTTAAATAAGTAACCATAATTAGTCATATAAAATATATTATTTATATATAAACTATGTTTATTAGTTCCTTTTGATGTATTTTAAAGTACAATGATACTAGATAAGATTCATATAAAATTAGGTCTGTAACTTATTACCCCCATTTTTCTAAGAGAAAGAGAATGAGTCTTTTTTTCAAAATTATTTTCTTCTCTTCTCTTTCCTCCCTTTGCCTTGTTCTCCATTTCCTACTTAGTTCTTTAAATGCAACCTTTATCTGCTCTTTACCAGACACTTCCTACAGGGCAAGCTTACCTAACTATGTGCTTGCATAAAAGCTCCAGAGCTGGAAATCTCTCCCACCCAGAGATTTATTTGAGAGATAACAGTCAATTTACAACATCAAGTATGTCCAAGATGAAACTCTCCCTCTACTGGAGAGTATCTCAGACAATAGTCTACAACCTAGCTCTGCCTGTGCTGGTGCCAGCTGGACCTGGTAGAGAAAGCACAGAAGCCACTGACACAGACTCTTATCTGCTCGCTCCTTCCCTTGTATGCTGTTCATGCCAAGGCCCCCTTTAAAACCTGTGTTTTCTGTCCCCAAAATGAGGTGGTACCTTTAAAGGCAGAAGGCTGTACTTCTTCCCCTAAGTTAAGCTATGGAAGAAAAAGCCTCCTCATACCAGAACTCACTCTTGTTAATTGGATCCTGCAAGTTGTGAGCAGCTGAATCGGTGACTTGGTCATAGCTCTATATGAATTTTTAAAATAATCATCAAACAGCTTATTAATAAACAGAGTCTGTAAGAGATCAAATGTGACAGGGTTAATGTTTCTTGCTGTGATGAGAGATACTACCCTATCAATCATCTACCAGAGTTTCTCCTGCTGTTTTTTCCTTGAGTCCTTTCCCTGCAGGTGTGGTTGAGAGGGTAGGAATACGGCTGAGGGTAGAACAGGACCCAGCCAGCTGCTAATAAGACACTGTCAGGCAGCCAGCCATCTAGATCAGCATCTCTCCAAATCTTTTAAGAGAACATTTATTATTTTACTGAGGCCAGTAGGTTTAGGCTATACCCAAATGACAGCCATGTTGTCACTTGTAATTGCTTAGAGCTTGTTGAGGTTTAAAGACAGAGTTTACCTCCAATGAAGGCCCCAGAGGCCTTGGTGGATTCTCTTTGGTTCTGCCTCAGAGGTGGGATGCATCCTGATTTCTTACAATACCTGGTATTGCCTTTTCTCGATGCTACAGAGCAGCACACTGGCCATTTCCATGAGAGTACATGTCTTAGTTTCCTAATGTACTCATAAACTACCAATCTTAGACACTGGACAGTCAAGAAACAAAAGATGTCCATAAATGGGCTAAAAAATAGTAAAAATGGTGCATGGCAAAAGCTTTTGTAAGCAGCATGGAGTTACAGAAGTGATTCATACATGAGCCAGCGTAAGATATCTCTAATACAAGATATAAAACCTTTTACAAATGCAGAGCAGTGCCTGAAGACTTTCCAATATGACATGCATGACCCCCATGCAAACTGAACTTCCAACAGGAACATTTCTTAGAATATAAGCACAGTCAGAAGAAAGAAAAGGTCATGCATTTTAGGCAGGTGGTTAAAAAGTACATTTTTTTTAAAAAGAAAGAATTGTCAAAATAATGACATTAGTGATTACTGACAGGTTGGTACAGTGGTATAGCTGATTATTTGATCTTAAAAACTCAATTATTTCATTTTTGTTTGAGGTAAACAGACATTTACAAAGGACAGTATATCAGGAGTTGAGATTTGTAGTCAGATTGCTTTAAAAATTTATTTTTATCATTTTTGTTTAGAGAAAGAGTCTCACTTTGTCACCCAGGCTGGAGTACAGTGCCACAATCACAGATCGTTGCAACCTCAAACCCCTGGGTTTAAGCAATCTTCCCATCTTAGCCTCTTTAGTAGCTGGGACTATGGGCACATGCCACTATGCCCAACTAATTTAAAAACATTTTTTTTTTTTGGAAGAGACAGTGTCTTGCAATGTTGCTCAGGCTGGTCTCAAATTCCTGGCCTCAAATCTTCCCACCTTTGCTTTCCAAAGTGCTGGGATTACAGGTGTGAGCCATTGCATCCAGCCTATAGTCAGGTTGCTTGATTTTGAAGCTCCACTCAATTTACTAGTGATATAATCTTGGGGGCATTTTCTTAGTTCTTCCATGCCTTGGTTTCCTCATCTTATAATGTAGAGAGTAATAGTACTTCTATTATATGGCTGTTGTAAGGATTAAATAAGATAACTCATGTAAACAGCTTAGCACAGGGCTGTTAATAGCCACTAAGTAATGCTAGTGGCTATTACTGTGATGACTCTCATTGTTCCCAGGGCCAGAGTAATTCACTTACCAAGATGACTGTCCATCACCTTTGCACAGTATTTGCACATGGCATCCAGGTCATTCAACTGTCCTTGAAGGAAGGAAATTTGGGCTTCTAATTCTTCTTCCTAAAATAAAGGGATAAACATATGGAATTTTTTTAGAGACAGTCAAATAAAATTTGTAAAGTTTTCTAAATGATCTAGACTAGTTTAAAGAAGCATGATATCTTTTTAAACCTAGACAAATCAAAACAGCAACTGCCACCACGAACAAAATAGAAAAAGGGTAAAATGGAAAATTTTAAAGGTCTGTACTTTTCCTAATTGAATTCTAGCTTTAGGCCATGTGTAACTATTTGCATATACAATCTTGTATTTAAAATGTGCACAATATATCTTCAATAAACATTGAGCAACACAAATTAAGAGGGCAATTTGCATTTCAGTGGACTATACTTCCTAAGCAGCTGGTACAAAAATACTATTTTTTTTTTCACATGTTTGGGAAACCAAAGATTCCCATGTTTATAAGACAAATCTCTAAGCCTGGAACCTGGACTCTATTTGAAAAAAAAAAAAAAGACACATCTCATCATTTTCTAGACAACAATAATCTCTTAAAATGTGAGATTTCCTAAAGTGCTTGGAAAAGTGTTGCCCCAGCAGCCTATAAATTGCTGCTCAAAGTTAGAGCTAGAATACAAGAGAGGATATTGTCAGTGTTGGAATAGGCTAGAAAATTGATTTTCCAGTCTTAGATCTACTTGTACTTTTCCCTAAGAATCCTCTGTATCATTAAAAATGAAGGAAAGAAAAACCTAACAAGGTATCCTTTCTCTTAGAGAATGAGTATTATTTGACTTGTACATGGAAATTAATAGTTGAAAAGGTTACTTCTAGATGTATTCCATTTTAACAATACGCATATGCAGCACTGAAAATTATTGTTTTTAACTGCTGCCTGAAGAACTAGCCCTTAGGAATAGGCATTGAAACACTCAACACAGAACAGACGTAGTGCCAGGCATGGTGGCTCATGCCTGTAATCCCAGCACTTTGAAAGGCAGAGGCAGGCAGATCACTTGAGGTCAGGAGTTTGGGGCCAGCCTTGCCAACATGGTGAAACCCTGTCTCTGCTAAAAATACAAAAACTTAGCTAGGAGTCGTGGTGAGCACCTGTAAAGCTACTCAGGAGGCTGAGGCAGGAGAACTGCTTGAACCTGGGAGGTGGAGGTTGCACTGAGTACTCCAGCCTGGGAGACAGAGCAAGACTATGTCTCAAAAAAACCCCAAAAAAAACAAAAATCCCCAAAACCAAACAAAAAAAACAGATGTAGTAGTAACAGCTTTAAAAACAAATTATTATGAAATGTCTACTGTAGGATTATACAAGCACGAACCACATTCTTTACGTATCCTACAAGTGCAGCAGCCTCTCCTCCAATGCTCAAATAAGAACAAATACTTATTTGGCTTAGCCCAAAGGATAATTAGAGGTAATTTTGGAGGTGGGGTTGCCTTCCTTACTCTGCAGCTGAGCATTAAGGTAGAAAAGGATGAGGCATTTCAGGGCATTTTTCTACTTCTTTTTCTCATTTGTTTCTGCACAGGCTTGAATTTCCCTGGTGATCAGGAAACTGTGGGAATCAGAGAAAGAAGGCTACATCTGCTGTTTAATAATGGTTGCAGTTAGTCGCCAAAGATGGCCACCATCCATTTCTTTCCTCCCTGACCTTGCATGTTGCTCCGTTCATTACTAGGTAGTATGTATTCGCCCTGTCCTTGTATCTGGACTGGCTTATGACTTGCATTGATCCAGAGCATCTAGCAGAAGTCAAACTGCTAATATTGGCCTAGTTTAAGAGGCTTTCCAGCTTCTTCTTTCATTAGAAGATAGCTACCACGCTATAAAGACGTTTAGGCTCCCATACTGAAAGAAAGGAGAGAATATATGGAGAGAAAGAGGCCACACGAGAAGCACAGAGGTTCTAGACATGTGAATAAAGTTTTTCTGGACTTTTCAGTTCGACCCAGCTGAAGCCAGCTCAGTGAGTGTCCCAGTCAATACTATGTGGAGCCGAAGACAGAGCAGCCTGAGCCCTGGTCAAATTCTTGATCCAGACCTATGAGGGGAGTATTAAATTTTGGAGTGGCTTGTTGTGTAGCAATAGACAACAGAAATAGTGGCAGAATGAAAATAACACTAACTTAGCATATAGCATGGGGAAACCTATGTTCTGTCCTGCCATTAATAAGTCATGGGACCTTAAGTAATTCTCTATCCACTCTGGACCTAAATTCAGTACTCTCAGGTGAATGGAAAAGTTAGAGGTTTTGCTTCAAAGGAACTTACAAACTAGTAAAGAAAGTTGTATGGCTGTGGTCTACTCTACTGAACCATTTACCTTTTTAGTTTGCTGCAGACACAAACCCCAACTAGCTGAGTCTAGAACTGTACTGAGGCCAGAGTTTGCTAGTCTCTTAAAAAGAAAGGGCCAATCTATGGCCTGTGTTTTGCCTTACAAGTGGCTACCAGTTGGGGTGCTGACAGCCCAGAGTGGACAAGGGGCACAAGGAATGCAATGCTTCTTGGCTTAAAAACATGTCTTCCATTTACTCTATGCATTAGTTTAATTTGGATTAGCCACCACTTCTTTTAAAATACAAAAGCCATTGGAAGCTTTAATACCCAGCAGTCATTCGTACCTAAATGGATTTATTTTCTTTTGCACAGGAAAGTAAAATGGGAAGGAAGAACTTCATAAGACACACTTCACAAGATGTAGGCACAGCCTGTTGGCGGTGAGGTGTTGAACAGCTGGTAGAAAGTATCAACTTAAAGAGGACCTCTTTCTCAAAACATTTTATTACTCTAGCAGGAGCTTTAATAAAGACTGTGATGAGACTGGGGTCCTCTAGCTTGTATAGTTAATGGGAAGTCCTAAGAGTTTAGCAGTCCAGGGCACCTGCTGGGCGAATATGCGGGGATATAAAAACACACATTTCCATGTTTGCAATTTTTGCTTAGGGCTCTAGTGGCAGCCACTGAAGAGCATCTTGAATACCTAAAACCCAAGTAGATCTTGACAGAATCTGTTTGTCTCATTATAAACAGATGGAAAAAGACAACTTTGAATCATTTAAACCTTATTTTTCAAAGGGATAGTTATATAAAAGCCAAATACATGAGATAAAAGAGGACTCCTCTGGTTGAAGCAGGCTGAGATACCAAAAACTTTGTCCATTTGGAAATTTGACATCCAGTATATTATCCTTTTAGAGTTTGCTTAATCTTAAAACATTTCTAAACCTTTCAACTATCACTCAGACTTTATAAATAGAAATGGAATCACTTGGAGGCAAAAGGGTGGCTTGTAATTTATTCTTCACTATATTATATAATTACAGATAAAAGAAAGAGCCAAGAATCAAGCTTCTAAAATTGTGGGAACTGACTTTACATTTTTATCTTAGCTTCTCATCCTCCACACTCCTCCCAACTAACAATGCTTTAGACATTGACAGCTTTAGTTGTTTTCATTAAATTGGTCCTCTGTAATAAAAATGCTTGACTAATTGCCTTGAGGTTTTATGAAACTGATTAGTTAGTATAATTGTTATGTGTAAATAAGACACTGAAGAGAAATGTTTCTTATATTAACTTTTAGTGTGTGTCGTGCCTTCCATTATAGGAGGGCGTAAGGCAGGGAAAAATGGAATGCTGAAATAGACACACCTGGGTTCAAATCCTATTTCTCTCAGTTATTAGCTGTATAATCTTGGACAAGTTCCTTCATTTTTTGGTTTATTCACCCCCACCTGGAAGGATTGGGGAAGAACAAAATGAGAATATATGGAGAACACAGCATCTGGCACAGAGCAGGCACTCAATAAAGGTAGTTATTCTTTCTTTTAAAAAAATTGTTATAATCAAATTAAGACAGTGAAATTGGATTTTAAATACAAAGTTTTATGATTCACTGTTGGAAAACATTAGTTTCTGGTTTAAAAACTTTATGTAGCTTAGCCCAGAAAGATTAATTAAAGCTAAGAGCCCATTACCATCTTAAACTCTAGATAGCAAATTAATGTGCAAGGCGAAAAATTGACTGAGGATGATGAAGTTGGGCCACATGCAGGCTACAGTGTGTAACATCAATCATACTTGGTGCGCTATAGGAAAGGACCGGAAGATGAGGGCGACTCTATCAGAAGAGAAAAATAATTACCATCAAATCCCTTTATGTTGATTATAATATGCCAGACACTGAGCTTTGCTGTATTAACACGTTTACTCTTCACACAGACCTTTGAGGTAGATTCCCTCATTATCTCCTAAGTGAAATATGGTCTACTCCTCTGTAGGCCACATCCTCTGGAAATGCATGCTAAGGTTTAGATAGCTCTTTGAGAACCCAAGTCACTTGCCCACTACTCTCATTTCCTCCCTGTGTACACATTTCTTCCTATGCTTCATTACTATGGTCCTTCCCATGAATAATCCCCCTTTTTCCATCTCCTTTAACTGAGATTCACCAGTTGTAATTTGAGTCCTAATGTCAAATTGCTCATTAAATTATTTTCCTTCAAAAACATTCAGATATGATTGGCTGTGTTGTTTTGTTGTTTACTGAATGATTGTTTGACTAAATAATCTAAAGAAATCATTTTTTGAATTTGCTTTTTAATAAGTGGTATTTCTACTGCCATTCTGCCCCAAATAGTTGATGCATCATTATACTTCTATTTAAATGCTATGTATCTCAGTTGTTCACATTTAATATGTCAATTTTATTAAATGATTCAATGTCTTCCTATTTCTTTTTTAAAAAGAGGACAAACTTTCATAGTTTATTATTTGTTCACTTATTAACTTATTAAAAAATGATGTTCATTTGTATTGTGTGAGGCCTTGTGTAAAATACAATAATGATTAAAACATGGCCTCTGACTTCTAACCTGCACAGAAAGCCAAGAGAGGTATAAGATTACGTTCCGTAGAAGAGACATGAGAGAGGATTTCTCACAATTCTGGAAAGGGAAGATGATTTCAATTTGTGTATGTGGAAAGGAAAGGAGGCTTTCTAGTATTTTTGAGGGATCCTAATAAGGAAAGATGTTTTAGG